CCTTATAAGAGCAAATAACCTGTGATAAAAAACGCCAGGCCCGTGCGGAATGCGCAGTACAGTCACAGTGAAAGCTGGAAGAGCGGCCTTTCAGAGCCTTTTCTAATCACGCTTTGGGTAACTGCTTCAAGTACACTTGCCAGGTATTCACTATATATGAACATATATAATCATAATTTTTCTACAGTTGGCCGGCATTCACTCTGCTATCCTTCGTCATTCTTCAGAGAAGCGTGGTATCTGCTACACACTTATTATGCCTGAAGTGGGTATGCGCCATAGTTAAAAAGATGATCAGGAATAAGCTTTTGTAATAGGTTGTAGCATTGGACGACCAACTTGATACGCAAATCTCCATGTGTGATGCCTGGTTGTTTCTTGATGTTTTAAAACGGTTTAGTACTCATTATTAATGCGATTTGTTTTCCGACATCAAGCCTGCCTAAGGCAAGTTAGCAAAGCCGTCTCAAGCACCGGTGTGGCTCAGTGGTAGAATACCAAGCTGGCACACAGGGGACCCCGGTTCAAATCCCGTTGTGTCCTTGGTGTTTTTTATTTACTAAGTTTTTTTTTATTTTTTGTGTGATACAGTGAAATCTCGGTAGAACGAACCCCACATTTGCGAACTTTTCAGATTAATGAACTTTTGAAAAATCTCGCGCTGACTGCTAATATTTTCAATGTAAATTTATTTCTATACAACATACTTTAGAATATGGAACTTTTCAGAAATACGAGTGTCTATTCAGTTCCGCGTTATATTAACAACTCCTCAATACTACGAACTCATGAAATCCGTCGCGACTACCGGAGCGGTACTCAAGCAGACGACAAAGTGAACGAACGCCTTGCTTCTCAGAAGTCGCGCAACGGGCGGAGCGGGGGGGGGGGGGGGGACGACGAAAGGGTAACTTTTTTTTTTTTTTTTTTTTTGTTCGAACGCTGACGCTGCAGGTTTACAAGTGCAAAGAGGGACAAGGGGAACACGGGAGAGCAAGGTTGGCGAGGTAGCGTGGGAGTTGCGTAGCAGGAAGCATGGGCGCGGAAAACATGAGACAGTGAGGTGCAGAAAACGAAACACGAGGAATTTTCTTTTTTTTTTTTAGCACTTTTTTTCCTTCAGAAGAAGCGATGACAATCGCATCGCTTCGGGTTTTTCTTTCTTTGTCACTTCTACATGTGCTCTTGGAGGCCTTGTTTGTCAGTAGTGTTCATCTCTTTTCAATGATTACTTATCGCGTCCGCAAAGCAAGTCGGCGTTCGCGCTGCGGTGCTATTACAAATGAGTTCATCTCTGCTTGTGACGAAGAAGCAGAAGCAGTTTTCGCTAAGCGAGAAAGTGGATATTCTTCGGCAGGTGGAAGGCAAAAAGCAGACTGTTGTGACCAAAGAACCGAATCGCACCACAGGAATGTGAATGAGCTGGAGGCCTTCACGCTGCGATGTTTGTGCTGCAAGCGTTAAAAAAAAAATAATAGATTTCTTTGAAGTGAACACGCATTTTTTTGTGTTCACTTGTGTATTTGTTTTTTCTTGTGAAAAACGAGTTCAGGGACCCACCGTTTTAAAAGTAAGTCGCTTTGGTCGGCGGAAAATAAGTATTTATGGTTAATTTTTGGGCTTTCACTATAAGGACCTTTTAAAATAATGAACAAATTGCCACAGCCCCCTGAAGTTGGTTTTACCGAAATTTCACTGTAGTAGTTACTGATAATAGTGGCGGTGGCAGCGGATAGCTACAGCGCCGCAAGTGAACCGTGTTATGATCTCTTTACAGCTTTCAGTGGAAATTGAGGATGGGTGCGGCAGAGGGCGCAGGCGATTCAGTGTGTCTCGCCAAAGCGGGAGCGCTTGCGACAAGCACAGAACGTGTTCTGTAGTTTGTGCAGTGAACTTCGGCGCCCTGCTATCAGCTTGGAGCGCTAGTACGAGACGCTCGCTGTGCAATGTTGCCTTTCCGCGATGAAAGAAGCATCCCCACGGAAGTGTCCGCGAGGTCCGAAGTATTGTTGTGTTGTGGGCTGCCACAACAATGCAGACAACACCAAGGGACGTTCTCCACATGTAAAGCTGCATCAGTTGCCAGCAAGTCACAGCCGGCGAACACAGCCACTGTTCGCGAAAGATAAAGCAAGCATGACACGAGAGCCGGAAAAAAACGAGGCGAGCACTTCAACTTGACTTGCAGTGGTTAAAGCTCAGCTTGCTGCTTTGTGGTGAAGTCAGCTGGTCATGCTCTCGTGGCACATAGGACTTGACTCTAAAACTTCTCAGACATTTTCATGCCATGACCGCATAACTTCAGTTTTTATTTGTATTTAGCACGCTGCAAATGTTTGCACATCACGATGCACGGCTGCTACTGCTAGATACCAAATCAAGAAAACTACATGATGTTCATAAACGTCAACGCAGCAGATCGATAGAGTACGTGGTTTCATGCCCACAGAATGAGACTACCTCGAGGCACATGTTGTACACGGTATTGTCACAAACCTGAAAAATGCATTTCGCAGTGACACGGGCATCCTCGTCTGCTATCGTGAACTGCACATTATAAACGCGACAAATCAGCTTCACTCCTATTGTTATATTCGCTTTTCGAAAGTGGTTGTTCAGCTCAGAAATTTTTTTGAAGCTGCACTGCAAGCTGTGAGGTGAATTAAATGCATTGCGCACGCTTCTGCAAGGGCACCCAAGCGAGTGGCAACGCATTGATGGGAAGGGAAAATGCGAAATATAGATCTCGTATTTCTACTTTTCTACCAGAGATGGCGCTGCCTGTTCAGAGTAGCCAGCGCCAACATCTGTCGCTTTGGCTACCTATGAGCATTTGCAGGAGAGAGGGAGATATTTCACTGTTACAAGAATTTTATTGTTGCTTGCTTTCCTTTAGATAGATAAAGCGCCAAAAACAGACGACTAGAAAAAGAAGAAGAGAGACACTGCCGCTGTCAGTATCTCTCTTTTTTTTCTTGTCTTCTGTTTTTGCATTGTTTTTATGGGAATTATTTTTTTCTTGTACTCCGTTTTTTGGCACTGTTTTTATGTAAATTATGTTGTACCGACTCACCCAAGCAAACAGTTTAGTTACTTCCCTTATGGCAGGTTTCTACTGTATACAGTCGAGCCCTTTTATAAAAGAGACTGATAAAATAGAGAAATGAGTATAAAAACACCAGTGTGCCTACAGTATAACACAGGGTCATAAGAAAATGCATGTGAGGTACCCTGGTTATAAGAGACATCTCGTATAAAAGATACGAATCGCTGTCGGGAGTATGCCTCTTAATAAGGGGTTGAACTGAACTAAAAATAAAGGCCAACTACAATGTTTATTGACTTAGACAGTACTGACCGAGAATGCAGTATAGGTTAAGTAAACAATGATAGTGACAGTGAAAAAGCTTGCAACCACGTATTTAATTTATAATCCGTGCTCTAATTGTCAGCAAGCAGAAGACGCGAAGCACTAGTGGTGTGTCCATGCAAATCGGACAAACAGAAATGACGTCAATTGCAGCTCCCCACTGCTCGCGAGCAGAAATCCGTGCAGCTGCAATAATTCCTTTTCTGTGGGACGCTCCTCTACGAGCAGATCATGAAAGGGGTTCACTCTTTCGTTTTACGAAATTAAGGGCTGTAGGCTGCTGGAACATATGTTGCCAGTGGGAACTGCTTTCAGGCTTTTTCGAAAACAGAGAAGCGCCAAAAGCTGCGGATTATTGGACTGAGGCATAAGGAATGGGAGGTATCGAAGAGTGTGGAGCTTCACACAGGGTACTTAAAAAATGACGAATATAAACTTCGCCGGTGTCTCTCCGCCCAAATACTGTTGAAGCCGAAAAGAATGCCGAATCCTGAAGCAGTGCCTTCAATACTCGGCCACTGCAAACAAAACAGCGGGAAGCCCCGAACAGAGTTTGAAGAATCACCAGCAATGACATGCATTCGTATTAGACAGCTTTAGTATAGCATAAAATGCTCGTTAAATATATATTCCAATTATAGGTTCCCATTAAACGATTCTTCGCTAAGTACCAGACTAGCTGCGCCATATATGAACATGTAATGACAGCTTTAGAAGCTGCTTGCTTCTAGTTGGGAGTAGTCGAAGCAGTGAAGTTCGACAGAAATGAAATTCAAAGCAATTTAAGCCGATAAATGTACTGGAAGAAAACGGATTGTGGGACATTTGGTTTAATGCAAATGTTTTGGGCGCATTCAGAGAAATGTTTACAGAAATGCAAGGATGCTTCTGTAGATATGGGAGCGTGCCAAACCTAGCATAGGGACAAACGTTATGGTGAGGTTTTAAAAAGATAGTAAAATAAGGTGCCTCTACCCATACCACTGAAGTATAACAGGCCTATGAAGCATAGAGCATAGATATAGAAAACGCCATCTTATCATCCGTAGTCCATCGACAAAGAATAAGCGAGCGGCATCATTTGTTGTGTACCAGCGAGTTTGCCAAGATTGCAGAAAAAGGCGGTAGGCACGCAGCGGGCAGCCGTTATTTAGATGCGTGCTTTAGCTATCTTTTGTGATTGTGTATCCTTCACGGTGTATGTTTACAAGTTTAGTTTTTTAGTTGCCATTTAAACGGAACACTCTGGGGTGCGGCCGTGCAGCGCATGCTTTGGTACACAGAGAAGATGATTCACCTGCATCGATTGGTCTGTCGAGCTGCTGTCTACCTCACTTCCGGTCAGCTGTAATGGCGTCGTTTTTTCTAGTTTCGATGTCGAAAAATGCATCGCTGGCGAGTTTTGTTCTTAGCTAACCACTTGCATTTTGATAATGAAATTTGCTAGGCAGTATTGTCCCCAGCTAGGCTGCCTATAAGTTGGCTTTTTGAGGTGTGCTCAATTTCATTGCAGTTGGCCTTTAACTCTTGCATATATTGATTTTTCAAGATGCTAGGGCCTTGCTTCGTAAAATAGTGATGCACTGCTAATCAGTGGTACAGCTGGATGCCCTCATACTGTTCATTGCAGCAGTGTGTGTACGTCCCTGGAGTTTTGTCCCAGAAGGGGTCCTGCAGAGCCTCTGGCGTGTTGTCTACTGGACGTCCCAAGCCTTGACCTGGTCAGTTTCGTGCGTTATGTACCGTACCAATCATTTACATCATGCCTTTGGGCACACAAAGGCATGAACTCACATGCAGCTTTTCTGGGTTCATTACAACCAGCAGCTCTTAGCAGCAGTGGCGCTGCTAAGAGCTGGTGTGCTTTCAATGCAACTAGCGAGCTTTTCAGAAATACGGAATCATATATGGTGAATAGTGAAAAATTCAGCCCTTAGAACTCTTGAAGGAACCAAAACGCATGAGTCAACAGCAGCGATAATCTATAAATTCGAAGTTCTGCATCCTCAAAATAAATGTGATCATGAGGTATGTCGTAGTGGAGGGCTCCAGAAATTTCAACCATCTTTAAAAGGCAACCTCGTGTTCCAAAATTTCTAGTGGAGGAAGAACTTGTACAATGTGAACATGCTGTCAAAACAACATTGCGAATAACTGCTGCAATAAGGAAGTTACAGGGCTGAGAATGACCTGTGTTGCCTGGCTTCAGTTTTTCGCTCATCCTTCCCACATTTTTCTCTCAGTGGGGAGTTGTAGGCATCGCCCTTTGTCATGACCATTGAGTAAGATAAAAGGGGCTGCACATTCACGAAGGGAATTCAGATGTCGAATTGAAGCCAAGTCCTAAGGTCTCTAATGTCTACATTGAAGTCGGCGCTTAGTATGAAGAGTAGATGGATGGACAGACGAGTGGACAAATCAACGGATTGACAGACAGATGGATGCAGGCACAGACGCATGGACAAATACTCTGACGCATGGGTGGATGCACGCACAAATGCACAGAGAATCGGGCGGACAAAGTATAGCCTACTTTTAAATCATATGTTTAGTATTAGTGCTCTTTCTATGGTATATGTAACACTGATGTTTCAGTCTGATGGAGACCTATGACGACGGGTCTCTATGACGAACATTGTGGGAGCCTAAGGAGCTTCACTCCTATAACAGGAGTGCCAACTCTGCTCACCTGGAAGGGACACATTGAAATGCCACGTCATGCTTCGCGGCGTCTTTGCCATATGAGGCTATATAAAGCAAAGCAGCGGAGGACAGACTGTATCCTTAAACAGAGCTGTGACAACATGCCAAATTGTAGGCTAGCTAGGCCTAATCACAGTTGGTGCGTTTTGGTAGCCGTCGCGGGTGATTTAAGTTGCAGTTTTGTGCGGAATCAACGTAACTCTTTTCGGTGGCTCTACTTAAAGGAAATGGGGCTTGGGTGGCGCTTGTAATCTTAGAATAGTGGTTTGCGATTTTATTGTAATGTCTTGTGTGTCCGTTGATCGAACACTCGGTACCGCTCAGCGCACAAAATTTTGGTCTTGATAATGCGCATAATCTATGTGGCTTAAAATATAATCGGCGAGTTTTTGCGATGGTACTTTTTTTTTCGTAGTTATTTTTTCCCGCATTCATTTTATTGGTAACGGGAATTTTTTGATGTAATATTTAGAAATGCAAATCACACCGCGTTGCATGCTTCAATTCTAGGACAGGTGAGATTGCATGCTCAACCTGTTTTGTGCTAGTGTAGCCTAAAGAGAAGGTTGTTTCAGCTGTTGTGTGGATATTCGTGGCTTTGGCGACGTATGTTATCAACTGTTTATGCTGTAGTAGGAAATCAACATTTTGAAAATTTTACCCCGCCTAATAGGAACACCCTGAACTTCGAACCAGATTTTTTGTAAAAAGAGGGCACCCGTAATGCGAGTAAATGCGGCAGCTACATCTGAGGCATAACTTATTCACGTTATTCTGCCTGAAGATTATGCGACACTGCATTTGATCAAGATTTGGATCTAATCTTGATGCAACAATGTGTCCCCATTTTCATAATGTAACTGTAACGAGTTCCTTTCGCATTAAAGAATAAGTACTCGATCTCAAATGGGGAAGGCAGGAGGAGCGAGTACTGTTGTTTTAGAGGAACGTGTACTACACTGAATGCTGGCCTTTTCTACACGGAGCCTTGCTTCTAGTGTCAGCTGTAGTACATTTTGTTGCATTATGTGACGACTCAGGTATTCAACTTAATTCATGTTGCAGGTTGATTCTGCCACTCATGCAGTCCTACTCCACGGCTGGGGAGTTCACCATCGCTGGCAAGCTGCGACGTGCCCTGATTGAGAATGCCATCTACTATGGCAGCTATCTACTCATCTTTGGTGTGCTGCTCGTCTACCTTGCCCTGCAGCCAGGCATGAACCTGGACGCGTCAGTACCATCGTCATTCGCTTCAATTGGGCATGCACTCATACTGTCAAATGCGCTGAGAAGTTACTACTGAATGACATACTTTGGCCACGAAATATCACAAACACAGAGCAAATGAAGGCACGACGAGCACAAGCGGCACTTCCAGCTAAAGCAGGACTGAGCGCAAACCCAGACTAACAATATACAGACATGTGCAGTCTTCACACAGCGTTACTGTATCGAGCTATCGAACAATCTCTTCACTGATACGTGCAACGTCATCGGCGTGTCTGTGAGACACCTTTCTCCTTTCTTATTAATGCAATAGTCTTCCATCAACGTACGCGCATGCAGTTTTATACCTACTTCTACCTAAAATATTAAACTCTTTAAAACGTGGTACACACCCGCAGGCTTTGTGATGCCAAGGCAAATGCGCCAAGCCAACCTTCATTAGATTTAATTCATGCTCCCTAACCTGTTCATTAATACAGTGCCAGGTGGTCACGATGTACGAGTTGCCACAAGAAAAGATAATTTCATAAAGCACGTCTTTGGCACATTTCCCATACGTCGTGCCATGTTTCTTGTCGCATCCCTGCACGTGTCGTAATGGAAGTCTATTACAATAAATAGGAAGAACACTGTATCAGAAACACGACGTATCGGAATAGGTATTGTTCGATAGCATGATGCTGTGTAAAGACTGTGCATGTCTGTATGTTCCTTACTTAAATCTGAGTTACGCTCAGTCTACTTTAGTTGGAAGTGCCACTTGTGCTTGTTGTTGTGTGTTCCTTTACTCTGTGTTTGTGATATCTTGCTGCCAAAGTACCATATAAACCGGAATATAAGTCGAGATATTTTCAATAGAACAACGAGCTAAAGTCGCCCCTCGTCTTATATAGCGGTGTCTAGCACAGTGCACCACTGTCTGGCAACATGTGGCTTGCATGTGCATGAGAAGCTGGACACGGCCATATTCGCATTCAAATTCAATAGCAGGCTGTTCTTTTTTTTCTCTCTTGTCTGTTTTTTTGTGTTTGTCATTTGCCTCCTATTTGTTCTCAGTTCTCGCTCCGCTTGACATTGTGTTTCATTTTTAGTGGTCTTTTTTTCGTTCACTGAATATGAATAGCAGTACGAGAAGGCAGTACTCAGCTGCGTTTAAATAAGAGGTTGTTGAGTTCGCAGAAGCGAATGGGAATATGGCTGCTCAGTGCCGCTTTGGTGTATCAGAAAAAAGTGTGCGCTATTAGTGGGTGCAGAAAGGGAAGCTGCAGATGTGCAATCCTCGGAAAAGGTCATTTCGTCGGTGAAGTGCGATTCATCCGCAGCTGGAGGATACGCTAGGGAACTTTGTGTGGGAAAATCATGTGTGCTCGCTGCCAGTGACCAAGGATACCATTCGCAAGAAAGCTGTGGAACTTGCTCGAGGAGCTGGGCTCACGAGAGAAGAGTTTCGTGCACCAAACTTTGAGTGCGTCGATTCATGAGACGCAAAAGATTTTATTTCCGGTGGCGCACATCCATCTGTCCGAAGTTTCCAGACGAGTTTGAGGACAAGCTTATAAACTTTCAGGGCTTTGTGAACCGGCTTCAGGAACCGAACAACTACGTGATAAGGCAGATTGACAATGCCGATGAGACCCCCGTGTGGTTTGACATGCCTTCATCGACCATGATCATGCAGCGTGGCGCCAAGGATATGAAGCTGTTGTCCCCTGGCAATGAGCACTCGCGCTTCACCGTCATGCTGGCATGCGTGGCAGATGGTAGAAAGCTTCCTCCCTTCATAATTTTCAAATGTAAGACATTACCAAAGGAAGTGTTCCCGCCAGGTATTGTTGTTCGCATCAACAAAAAGGAATACATGAACGAGGCCATGTGTCACAAAATGAGCGCTCAAAAAGAGCGCGCCGCCAAATTCTCGCGACGAAACGCCGGAGTGACGCCGCGAGGTCAACGATAAAAAAAGAAAAACATCCAAAGACTCTCCGGGCGCGCGTACCTCTCCCCTCGGAAAGCGTAGGTTCGCCGACGAACCTCCTCACCCCACATCGGCGGCCGAGCAAGCCCTCGAAAATTTCTAGATGGAAAGGGGCGTGATGATGCCGGGTTGAGTCATCCGTCGCGAACGGCCCTAGTACTGTCTCGCGCTTTCCCCCAGCCTTCGCTGCGCCTCGCGCCGACGAAATGATGAGAACTTTCTGGAATCACGCGCGGAAGGTATTTAACCGAGCAGCGGAGATAGGAGATGAGGAGAAGACGGAAGTAATCGCGCGCGGAAGGTATTTAACCGAGCAGCGGAGATGGGAGATGAGGAGAAGACGGAAGTTAGTGCCAGAGCGGGTTGGGTATTCCGCCGTGTAGTCGGCGAAGGTTTTGTCCATAGAGACAAAGCAGGAGAAGAAGATGATTTCCAGCCTGAGGGGTGAAGGCTCGAGCTACAGGCAAGAGAGTGTGTCTACCACTATCGAGCGAAGACGCGTGGCAACAGCTGCGTGTGTGAAGCCGACGTGGTTCCGGCGAAGAAGTTTGAAGCTTGGAGAGTGGCCACTTGAAGACGCGAGGTTTCCTGGAAGAGAAACTTCGAGAGCACTTGAAGATGCGAGGTTTCCTGGAAGAGAAACTTCGGGAGCACTCGAAGACGCGAGGTTTCCTGGAAGAGAAACTTCGGGAGCACTGGAAGACGCGAGGTTTCCTGGAAGAGAAACTTCGGGAGCACTTGAAGACGCGAGGTTTCCTGGAAGAGAAACTTCGGGAGCAGCAGAACGACAGAGGTTTCCTGGAAGAGAAACTTCAGGGGCAGCGGAACGGCAACAAGGCTGGACTTTCAGTGAGTGATTCTCGGAAGAGTATCATCCAGACTTTTGTTCCAAGTACTTTGGACTGAATAGGTTTTCTACCTCTTTAGTCTTTAAGTGTCTTGGTTGTTCGATGCATGCGACTGCATTGTAGTGCGTATTGTTGTCTGTGCCCGTTGTTTCGAGTGTGGCCGATTGTACTGTGTCGTACGTTGTTTGGTTGGTGACATATTGTATTCAACTATTGTGGAGTGTGCATACTTGTGTATTGTTTTTGATCTGCCATTATTGAGAATATAATTTTGTTTTGTTTGTCAACTCTCGGCTCTGACTTGTTCTTTTGGGCCACAGCCGGCGTCTGCTGGCGCGCCAAAACGGACCACTTCTAAATTGTCCATGCTTCCGTGGTGCGATTCGGGGGGCCGATACTTCGGCCCTTGGAATTAGCCCGGCGATCGCGTCCCGAATTAACGAGACCTGTGACAATTAATCCGGCGTCCGCGACGAGGACGTTTTGGTGCACAGTGTGTTCAAAGTAGTGGGAAAGAGCCTCGAGTTGTTGATAGTGCTATCGGAACGATTTTGTGTGTTGTTCAGTGTTCTCGTTAACGAGTGCAGGAGAGTGTTCCGATATACTGATTTAGGCAGATATTTTTTGCACGCGGCAAGGTTTTATTTGCGAGACACAATGGATCTCGAAAAGTTAGTCGCCCTTGGTGAGAAGATGGGTCTTTCTGGCGCTGAACTACGGAAGTGGGTAAGCCAGAAGGAGAAAGAGGCGGTGAAGAGAGAGAGGTTGGCAGCTGAGAGAGCCACGGAAGAAAAAGCAGCTGAGTTGGAGAGAGAGAGATTGGCAGCTGAGAGAGCTAAGGAAGAACAAGCAGCTGAGTTGGAGAGAGAGAGGTTGGCAGCTGAGAGAGCCAAGGAAGAAAAGCAGCTGAGTTGGAGAGAGAGGGGTTGGCAGCTGAGAGAGCAAAAGAAGAAGGAGAGCAGCGATTGAAGTTGGAGCTGGAGAGAGAAAAGTTGGCAGCTGAAAGGGCGAAAGAAGAAAGAGAAGCGGAGATGGTTGAAAGGGAACGGCAGCGGCAGCACGAGATGGAACTCGAGCGGCTTCGTTTGCAGCAGCGAAGTGAAACTCCGGTCCAAGCTAGAGTTGAAAGCAGCGAACGGGAAGATCATGGCTTCCGCTTGAACCCAAGCAAGCTGCTCGTAGCGTTTGATGAAAGGAAGGACGACCTTGACGCGTACCTTCACAGATTTGAGACGATTGCAAGGAGCCAGAATTGGCCGGAACATTAATGGGCAACTGCTTTAAGTACTTGCTTGAGTGGTGAAGTGCTCAGTGTGTACGGTAGGCTGACGCCGACCGATGCGGCCAACTATGCAAAGGTGAAAACTGCTTTACTCAAGCGATTTAGATTTACTGTGGAGGTTTCCGAGGTTTCCGGGACAGATTTCGGACAGGAAAGCCAGCTGATCGTGAGACGGCTACGCAGTATGCCACCTGACTTTGCCATTATTTCGACAGATGGATTGAACTTTCAGGGACAGCGCAGGAGTACGATGAACTTAGAGAGCTCCTAATTAGAGAACAATTTCTTACTAGTTGCCACCCAAGCCTGTCGCTGTACTTGAAAGAGAGGAGAGCTAAGTCACTTGAAGACATGCTTGAATTAGCTGACCAGTTCTTGAAAGCGCAAGGTGGCACTAATTTGGCCAAGGTCAAGAAGGAGTGTCCGGAAGATTCGAAAAATTCGGCACCCGAACAAAAGAAGCGTGCACCGGAGAGTGTTCCGCGATGTTTTCTATGTAACCGAGTGGGTCATCGTGCGAACAACTGTCGTACTAACTTTACGAACCCTACGGTAGTAAAATGTTTCAAGTGTGGTCAGACTGGGCACAAAGCAGACGCATGTCGTAACGGACTGAGTCAAACTCACCAGGTATCCTGTGTGCAAGCGGCACCGAAATCTGATAATAATGCCGTCACCGACGGATTCGTAGAGTTGAAAAATGGGGAGAAACTTCCTATTGTGGGTGCTGTAATGTCAAAACAGCCAACCGGTGTTACGAAGGGAATGCCAACGCTGCCTGGAAAAGTTGCGGGCAAAAAGGTTACGGTGTTAAGAGATACCGGCAGCTCCACTGTGATCGTGCGGAGAAATTTCGTACGGGAAAGTGAGTTAACAGGCAAAACGAAACCAGTTTGCC